GAGAGAGAGAGAGAGAGAGAGAGAGAGAGAGAGAGAGAGAGAGACCATGCTATTTTCTGCCTTCTGTTGGAATGTTATTTCCTTTAGACAGAATTCTAGAAAATGGAATTGTGGGAAATTTTAATGCTGAGACTTACATTCTTTATTGCCATACTGCCTCCCAGAAAGGTACTTGGCCTTCGGAAGTTCCCAGTCCTAGGAGTTCCCAGCTTTCTGCACCCCTAAGGGAGCGTGGGTTGAGGGTGCTGCTGGATGTCTGCCCCACCCCTCACCCCTAGTAGGTCAAGAGGAAACATTAGTAAAAACAGAACAGTAGAACCAAGAAACAAAAAAATCCGGATGTAGAATAATTTGTTTTTCTTGACTTCTGTGGTTCTAAGCCCAAACCAAGTCCCTTCCCCGCCCGCCACCTAATCTTTTAAGAGAAATTAAAGAAATCGCTCACGATCCCTTTGACCTGCGGTTGGAGACTTAAGTTTCGGATCTGAAAGTTGTATGACAAGTTCCTGTCAAACAATTTCCTCCTCACTTTCACACCACAGTGGAGGGTTTATTCACTACAAAGTTACGCCGTGGCACCGTTCTTTCGCGGGGAGGGGACAGCAGGTGCCGTGCTCGCGTGCTGGGGCCACACCTCAGGCTTAGGCCCGCGAGGCTCGGTAGCTTAATGGCGAACGGCCCGCGGTCCTATGGGTTACCCGGTGTGGAGGCGCGCCCACCCCAACGCCACCTGGCCCCGAAGAGCGCGGGACTAAACCTGGAGTTGAGGCGCGCAGGACAAAATTCCCGGCGCTGAGGGGCGTGGGACAAAACGCTACCCGGAGCCCGTGGGACCCGGTCCCAAAGCGCGCGGGACCCAGCGCCGCCCGAACTTGAGGCACGCGGGACCGAACTCTTCCCCGCGCTGAGGAGCGTGGGACAAAACGCTACCCGGAGAGCATGAGACAGAACGACACCCGGCCCCAGAGCGCGCGGGACCAAACTCTTCCCAGCGCCGAGGCGCGAGGGACCAAACGCCACCCCGAGCAGGGGCCATGGGAACTGAAGACACCCAGCTCCAAAGCGCGCCGGACCAAACGCCACCCGGCGGAGGCTCGAGGGACAGAACGCCGCCAGGCATCCGCTGCACCTGCGGCCACACTCACCTCCGCCAAACATCTGGCACAGGTAGGGGAAGCGCCACACGTTGCCCAAGCCCACAGCGTAGGAGATGCAGGCGAACACGAATTGCAGCGGGTTGCCCCACTGTGGCCGCGTCTTCTCCATGGCCCTTGCTGCGCCGTCCAGGGCCTGGGTGGCCAGGAGCCGCTGCTCATCTGCCTTTTAATTGCTAATCTCATTAACACGCGCCAGAGGGCGAGGCCATAAGTGGGCGAGGACGAGCCCCACCCCGCTGAGCTGGGGCGGGGAAGGCCCCGCTCCTCGTCCCGGGTGTGCGACTTCAGAGCATGAAGAAGGGATCACGTTTTCTCAGTCTCTTACCGGTCCATCAATGACAATACCATGTGCCGGGTGCTGTTGTGCAATAGAAACAACAGAACACCCCCCACCCTCCAGCTGACATTCAGTTGGAGGGACCTCTTAAGTGGCACAAGATGAGGGGATGACGTATTCTTAACTATTTTGACCGAGGGGGTTCTTTGCAGTGCATAGAACTACGAGACACAGGAACAATATAGGTAAATCAAAGGGATAGCTGCCCTGGAAACAGGGAGGGCTTCCTAGAGGAGACATGACCTTTCCACAGAGTGGTGACTCAATGGAAGCGTGCTCCCCTAGTGTGTGCTGGATTTGATCCCAGCACACCCAGGAGAGCCTAGGGCCCTCTACCTACCCAGCCTTCTCTGCACCTGAGTGTGGGCAGAACCAGGCTTTGAACAACTGCTGTGGGATACTTTGCTGCTCAGGCCAGGTAGGGGATAGAGTCTCATTTCTTAGTCTAGGAGGATCCTTATGTTTCTACCAGTCCCACAAGGAGATGTAGTTGAAGGTGGTCACCTGACTCAACAAAGCCAGTGCTTCCCCAGTGATGGAGGGTTTGTGCTTGTATCTCAAGGCCACCACTGACTTAGCTGTGTAACTTTGAGAAAGTCACTTAACATCTTTGACCCTGTTTCCTTTGTAACAGAAATAATCCCTTTCCTAAATCCCAACCCCCAAGGGCTCAAAGTACCTGTCCTGGAATTTTCTACTTCCAAGCAGCAAAGAAGAAACCAAGACCACAACACAGCAGGAAAAACCTTTTGGACACTAAAGATTCATATTATAGGTGATGTTTTTCCTATCGTGCTAACTACCTGAAGGGGTACCATCTAGCTTTCTTCATCATAGGTTAGCGTTGTCCACTCTGACCTAGCAAAGATGGAACCTTGTGCACGAACTCTTATGGCTGGCTGCATTTGCTTGCTGCTCTCTACAGGACACATTCAAGTTTCAATGTATAGTTGTGGTTCTCTCTCACTGCTGAATACTATCCATGGTGTAAATATACTCTAAATTTAAAAAACAAAACAAAAACAAAAACTTTTTTTGAGTGCAGGGGATCAAACTCAGGACCTTGCACAATGAGCTACATCCCCAGCTGTTGGTTTTTTGAAACAGGATTTTACTATGTAGTCCACACTGGCTTTGAACTGTTTTCTTCTTGCCTGTGCCTCCTGAGAGCTGAGATTACAAGTAGGCACCAGCATGCTTCGTTCCAGTCTACTGTTGATGGACATCTGTGTTGTTCCAGTTTGTGGCTACTATGAACAGAACTAGGATGGAGATTCTAACACACCTTGGTGGGTGGATGGACTCGCTGTTGAGAACTTTTGGGCTCTAGGCAGGTTCATGTTCAGCTTTAGTAGATGCTGCCCAGTTGTTTTCCACAATGGAGATACCAGTTCACATTCCCATTAGTCCTGGTGGTTCTGCATTCTCATGGTCACTTGCCATTAAAAAAAAAAAAAATTTCTTTACTGG